TATTAGCAGACAGCTGTAAGGATCTCATCAGGAACAGAGTTTAAGAGGATGGTTGCACTATAACTTCTTTTTTTTTTTTGCCTATTCTACACTTCCTTTGCCATTCATTAGATGTGCTCAGAGCAGACTGATCCTGAGCATAACGAGCTCCCATGGTTCAGTACCTTGCTAATCAATCAGCCGACCTCCTGCCTTAAATTTCTGACCAGTAAACACATTGAAAATTTCGGGAGTAAAGCTTTTTTTGATGCTACAGGCATCTGATTTTCAACTAACTGTGTTGATAAACTATACAGTTAATATTATCGAGTTCAAAACCCACCATGTCACGCACAGCATGAGATGGGAATAGTGGTCTTGCATCCTGCAATAGCCAAAGGCAAATACCAAGCAAAGCCACTCGATGTCAGTGTTGCTTCACCGAGTTCTGCCTAACACAGCATCCTTAAAAGAGCTGAAAAACCCATTTACAGAGATGTTTAAATAGACCCCAAGCCTTTTGAGCCATGTCTGGCTTCTTTGTTTCCTCGATGTTACTGTCCCCAAAGCCTCGTAAATTATCTGTATGATGAAGGGATGGAGATTACAGCTTTATGGGTTTTGTGAAGGGTGGCAATCATATCTTTGTCAGTTTAGGTCCACATTCATGTAGTTGGTGACTGAAATCAGTACTTTTGAAGTTAATTATTACTGAAAATGCATTGCATCCAACTGTGGGAGATAAACTGGCAAGCTTTGGAGTTCGTGGATTTTGTCTGGCTTTGGTACAGCAGAATTTCAGAGGGGGACGTTTTTTAAATATCAGTAATAAATGATTTGCATACTTACACATATGCTTCTTCTTTGCCTAGTGTTGTGGTTTAACCCAGGTTTATGTAATGCATGTGGTTGATAACCTACTTTTTTACAAATTCTCAAAATTCAGGAATGCTGTTTTGAACAGTGTGGATTTCTATCACTGTTTTTGTGTTGTTGCATTTGTCAGTACTCTGTTTTAATTCTAGTAGCTTGTATTTATTCCCATGTGCTATGTTCTGCAATATAGGAACTGCACAGCTTGGTGTCTCTAAATTAGCTCTTATCACCCTCTTTTTAAAATTTGACTTTCATTCCTATACAGTTGTGCTTTGTCAAAATACTTTAATTTTTCATAAATTTTGTCTAGGAATTTTAGGCATAGTTGCTAAAGACACAAGCCTTATGTGACCAAAATTCTTGGCTGTCTTTCATTTATTATCACCTTAATCCTTTAGCCATACTTAACTTATTTGACAGAAACAGCAGTACCAAAACTGACTTCATACAAATTTTTGGTCAGTATAGAGGATGAGGATGAACAGGAATTAGTTTCTGCACAGATTAAAAAGCTGAGGAAAGCTCAGTCATTATGTGTTCATTATATATTAAGATCTAAATAATATATATGTTTTTGCCAGTGGCCAGCCAGAAAGGTGCTTGTAGTTTTGGATTAATGACAGCACGTACTTCCCTTTACCCAGTGATGGTGGAAGGGAGAACTTCAGGAAGTGAGTTGGCTGCTCAAGAGCATTCATTCTTGCGGGGAAAAACTATGCACAGCAGCAGGAGCACAGGTTTAGTTCGTTCACACTGGTTTAATGCTGGATATTTGCAGATATTTAGTTCCTTCCTGAGAAAACTTAGAAAGAGCAAGTCACACTGCAGAATCACAGAGGTTAAGGATGGAAGGGAGTGCAGTGGTCCAACCTCCCTGCTCAAGCAGGGCCATCCCAGAGCACATGGCACAGCACTGTGTCCAGATGGTTCCTGAATATCTCCAGAGAGGGAGACTCCACATGTTCCATTTTTTCCATCTATGCCTGCCTGAGGTGTGAATAACTTAAGTTCTATGAGTGTATGTAAACATAAGTATTGTTTTTGAACTTGCCTGCCAGTTTGTGAAGTCTAAAAGCAGTTCTCATGTAAGAATCCAAATATTTCCTGCAAAATCTGTTTCCATATGAAGTGGGATTTAGGGCTTCTCTGTCAGAGTTTGCCTCAAATTTTTCCTTTTGAGGTCTAAGTTGGAGTAAGGTGTCAGATTATTATTTTTTTTAATCCCTTGAGGCCAGAGCTAGAGAATCAAATTCTCTTTTCTTCATATATCCACCATGTATATAAACTTCTCATATATGGAAATGTTAGAGGAGCTGAGATGTTATCCCATTTATTTTGGAACCTGATTCAAATCAGGTTTTAAAAGCCCCACCATATCTCATCTATGATGCAATAAATATCTCCTTCTATATATTATTTGTGTTCTAATTTTTGATTTATGGTAATTATCTTCTTAGCATTGTACATAAATATTCTGCTGGAACTAAACTTTTATGCATTTCTAGCACAAACAAACAAACAACTATGTAATTACTTGAAAATAGGTTTTACTTATATGAGATTATCAAAAAAGTTAATTGTGAAGTATCTAATATTACAAAACTATGTGTGAATACACTGACTTAAATGTACAAAACTGAAGGTTTATCATGCTTATCATTGGTGTTCCAGAAAATGAAGTTTTATTCACTTGTTTCAGAGTAAGAGAGGGTCTCATAATCCTGGTAGTTCAGGTACATCATGATACAATATAACCTATGGAAAGCCTGCATAGTCTTGGAGTGTATAGACTAAAGCTTTATAACTTATGAAAACCAGCTGATGGGAAAAGGTTTAAAAATCGTGTGTGTGTGATACAACGTGTTTTCATTAGAATATTGAACTATCCTTCTAGGAAAGTGGAAGAGTTTTTATGTTTTCTTAAGAATCAAAGGTTGTAATATTTTGTAGTGAGGTATACATACCTATACATCAGTTTTCCCTTAAAAATGTTGTTTTCTTTAGAGTTTGTAACTGAAATGTTGCTTTGTTTCATAGGTAACTAGGAGTATTTTTTAAATTCAGAGTTACAATGGAGAATGTATTTCAATAGTGATGGTGTTTCCAACTTCATATTTATGGATAATGCAGTTGTTTACTTATCAAAAATAATTGCTGGGGTAAAACAAAATTTCCACAACAATTCCCCACAACAGCTGTGGGATGTTTGCACTCATACATGCACACACCCACAGAGATACCATCCCTTCTTGTTGGTGGGAGACAAAAGTCTGTTGATAATGGAAATCCTAGGTGTTCAGAGACTAATCTGGGATTGATGAAAACTTGTCCAGTTTAACTGACTCAGCAATTAGGAGGTGGAAAATCTCAATTACAGACTTTTCAAACATTGTCAGCATTTTGGTGCAAGAACTTTGAGGAATGGAGAATATGTCCTTGTGTGTTTAGCAATGGTTCTTTGGTTTCCCACTGTGGGTTTTTTTGCCCGTTTCAGAATATTCAGAGCTTCTAACAAACAATGATTTAAAAAAAAAAAGAGGCTAGGCTCTTTTATACAAATACCTATATTTGGGGATGTTTTTGCACATGCATATTTATGTGTAGAAATGTATTTTGATTTTTATTTCATAGTAAATACTGTTATAGTTAGAGGCACTGAACATTTCATCAAAACTAAGCAGCACCTGACTGCTGAGTAGCTCTTGCTGTAGCTGTGAGGATTCCTGTCCACTTCTGACTATTGAAAGAAGGAAAAGATTTGTGTTGTGAAAACTTGGCAGACATAAATTCCTCAATTATGAACTCCTGGAACTGTACTTTCCTGTTAAAAAAACCCAGAGAAAACCAAAAACACAAACCACAAAAAGAAAATATAAAAGAATTTATGCTTAGAGGTTTATTCTTTTTACCTTTCTTTAAAAAGTTTATGTTGTTAATGGGTGGGCAGGGCAAAGAATAAGCATGCCAGGAATAATTAAGAGTCTGTCTCAAGCTAAGAAATTCTTTCTTTTTTTTTTTTAATCTTTGCAATGCTATGGGACACAGTTGTGGACATCAACAGAATGTAACTCAGTAGAATGAACTGATGCATTTGTCTTTGTGCCAGTCTACCTGTTGCATTTGGAAGCAGTCTCATTTTTCTAAAATTGTATTGGGTGGAAAATGCATCAGGTTTTTTTGCCTTAATCTAAAAAATGAAATATAAATTAATTTCTATTTTAAAAAAGGAAATATTTTAAAAAATGCTTTTTTTTTTTTTTTTTTTTTTTTTTTTTTTTTTTTTTTTTTTTTTTTTTTTTTTTTTTTTTTTTTTTTTTTTTTTTTTGCTTACTACACAACAGTGATTGGGAAGACACTTCACCCATAAAATGGATCTTGCATTTCAACTTCAATTTCTTTGCCATCCAGAGATACAGGAAACTTAGAAGAAAACTTATTGTGGCCTTGCTCCATATCAGTCAAGGCATTTAAATGCCTGGACATTTAAAGCTCTTCCATGTCCTTATCACTTTGTGTCTGAGCACTTTGTATCGTACACAAGGTGCATGACATTATTACAAGAACAAATGTTACTTGGTGAACTGTCTGTGCTGAGAGAGCCTTTGTTGAATGGCAAGCCAAGAGCAGAAAGGACTAGCTTTGAACAAGAATGTTTGTCACAAGAATTTTTGGCACTGCCCATGTGAAGCCGATACCTTGCAGTCCCTCTCTGCACTTTGAGCTTGATACTCTGAAGTTTGAGGTTTCAGACTACAGAGAGATTCTGTGTATGCTTCTGGTAGGACTTATTGCTACCTGATATTCTGCATTTGCTACATAAATAAGATTTTTGTGTCATTTAGAAGACAAAATGCTGATGGAGTAAGACAAGTCTTCTAGCATGAGCTTTACTGAGGTCTTAATGTGTTCCGCCTGTGGCCGGAAAAGCTCCCCCCAGGAGGGACAAGGCTGCTCTCCCGGGCTTGGCAGGGAGATGCCTGCTCTGCTGGGCACTTCTTGCTCAGATTAGCATAGCCCAGCCTATATCACACACACACACCCAGTAATACCTCATTTTACCACTGGAATGAGGCCAAAAGCACAGGCATTGCAGGGATATAAAGCGGGAAGTTACTGGAAAGAATCACAAACTAACGTGAGACTAGACCAAATTTTTGCAAACAGCAGAAAATGTGATCTTTGTTGTAGATGGCTCTTGCATTTAATGTAGCTGTTTATATGATTGAAGCACTTAATAAGTGTTTTTATTGAGTATAGTTACAGAACAGCTGCAGAAATCTTAAGTGCTTCTGTTAATTTTTTTTTTTTTCTTTGTAGTTTGGAACTGAAAAATCTGAGAAGAAAACTGGAGACTGACAGAGATCAGGGTGATTCCTCAACTGTGCAGTCTCCTGACAGAAGCACTGCTTTTGTGGGGTAGGAATGATGACAGGGGCAAAAAGGAAGAGAAGTACAGTCTGGAGGAAGATCCAGGCTGTTCGCTTTGAAGATATCAAAGCCTGGTGTCTGAGAAGGCTGCCTATCTTGAAATGGGTGCCTGTCTACAACTGGAAGGAAAATTTGGTTCCTGATACTGTTTCTGGGATGATGCTAGCCATCCAACAGGTGACTCAAGGTACAGTTAACTCATTTCAAATTAATATTTTGTCTGTTCATATTTAATGTTTATTGAATCCAAATATAAATATAAGGAAAAATATATAGTCTTAACTCATTAATGGAGTGGATAGTGCAAATGTGGATAGAAATGCATTGTGATAGTTTTTGTGGAACTTTACTATTTATCCCATACCTTTGACAATTTTTCAAACATTGAATATGGAAGGTGAGAGAGCAGTAACTTTGTTAATACAGGATATGGTTATATATGATGTTTTATCAGTTAAATGACCATCTTTTTCTCTATTTCGCATGAAAAACAAAATTCAGCTCAATGATAATTGCACTATAAAATATGCTATTCTGGAATAAACATGTGCATGATACTATTACCTGTAAAATTCCAAAACACAGCAGGAAAAGTTCACAACTTTCTGTGCATAAAGAGTGTTCCTGCCAGGGACATTACCCAGGGAGAGGATCTGTGGCATCCATAGCTAGTATGCTGATTTAATGCTGTATTGCATTACCTACCACACCTCTTTTCAAGCAGCAATACAAAGTAGGGTGGAGCTAGATTCCATTTTACAGCATTAAAAAAAAAATAAAAAAAGAAAGAAAGGAAGAAAAAAAGGCAGAAAAAGGAAAAACTTCCCAAACCCTGCACAATGACCTGCAGAAACTTTAAGTTCCAGTTGTCTTGTTTAGTAAAGTGATTACTATGAGGAAATGAATACTTTCAGTTTTTGATGTGCCTTTGATAGTGTCACCTTCTCTTGACAATATCTTATATTTGTCTCGGACAAATCACAGCTTCTTATCTCAAATGGACTTTAAATCCTTCCATCATGTGAATGACATATATTGTGTCCTAGCAGTCTTCCATATTAAGTGTGCTTAACTATAATTCATGTTGTTAAACACTCCTTTAATTGAATTATGCTGGAACTTGAAACAACTGATTTGTATAAGCATTTGTGATTTTAAAGTAATTAGGAACATCTGTATTGGCATGATTTAACTTTAAGAACCTTAATACTGTAACTCTGCAAAGTATCTAATTTCATGGTATGTGTGTATACAACAATTGTAATTAAAATGCTCCTAATAACAGTATGTTGAAATTCATCAAAAATGCTATGTTAAACAGCATTTCTGAAGTCTTGGTAGTTTCAGCCAGGATTTTCATGTTTGACTCTTGTACCAAGAAGTTGTTTACTATAACAGATAAATCTATAAAGACCCAGTGAAGACAGAAAATACAGGTTTGCATTTTCTGGATTATTTATAAGTACTCTAAAAATAATTTTATCCTTATTTTATACTATTTGAAAATAAATACTTTGAAGCACCTGATATATTTCTTCTTTCTCTGCTTTCTACTTCTCAAGATTTTTGAATGATTTTAGGGGATGAAATAGGAAGAGAATTAGAGACAAAAGCATTTCATCGTGGTTGTAATGCTTTAATTTGCATGCAAATGTAAGCTCTTTCTCTAGTGTTGTAATCATTCCAGTTACCAGAACTATCCTAATATTTTCTCAGGAAGAATTATGGATGAAAAGAAGTTCCATTTGCTATATAGCACAAAGCAAAAAAACCCAAATTTTTAGAGGTCGTACTGTGACTGTTTTCTTCCACCCACAAGATAAACCAAGAAATTTTGTAATGCAATGCAAGGCAGAAATTCTAATAATAGTAGGAAAAAAAGGTAACTGGTGTTAACTGACTTGTTGAGCATAGTGTCAACCTCAGCAACAGGTTTAAGCAAATTCAAGTATAAGAAATGAACCTGAGTAATGGAAGTATTTGGAAAAATGTATGGTTGTATTCATATGCAACAGTTTTCTGAGTGATGAAAGCTGCAAACTCCAGGGTAGAGAGCAGTCCAGTAGCTTGAGAATAATTAAGAAAAGCCTTCCAAATGAGCTGTGTTTTTCAAAATTTCCTTCTGTGGGATTTCTTACTCATCTGGCATTGGTCATATTCAGACTATTCAGGTTAGCAACTGCTCTGATCTGGTGTAATGTGTTTGTGTTTCAGCTTCTAATCTAAATTTTAGATTAAATTACTGATTTCTCTTTGTATTGTACAGAAGAAGAGATAAAGGTCACTGTCCTTACTGTGTCATAGTGAAAGTAACAAAACTGGGCTGGGGAAGAGGAGACTGAGGGGTGTAGCAAGATGGAAAGTAAAGGCATGGAATTATCATAATGTGCTGCTGGTCATTTATGATTAAAAAGTCATTGCTGAAACCAAGCAGTCATTCTGAAAATGTTCTTATAGTTGTTCCATTGCCTGCTAAAAATAATAAATAAATAAATATTGATTTAGGAGTCCCAAAATTCAATGCTCTTTACCTGAGAAAATACTTGTATTTTCTCTGTTGTATGCCCTAGTTTTTTTATCGACATCTAGAGAATATAGAGAAATAAATGTCAAAGATAATTATGTTTCTAAAAATGTTATGAAAATATCACATAGAAAAAAGACCCTACAAGTTCTAACAAAAAAAAAAAGCCCTTTCAAATACACCAATTGGTGCAAAGGTCCAGCTGGACTTGCACAGTCTCAGACTGCGAAGTCAGCCAGCCACAAGTCAAAAACAGTAAAGGAAATCAGGCTTCATCAGTTCCAGCTATTTAATATTAGTTCTAAATGTAATTTAATAATGCTGACATAGAATCCTTATTCTTACTTTGATACCTAAGGTTGAAAAAATAATCTTGGAATATAAAATGAGCATCATGATGCAGTCTTGAAGTTTGCTATATATTGTAATAGAAAGTTAAGAAATTTGATCTTTTATGTTTTGGTAATTGCTACATAATTTATCTCAAAAAAGTCTCAAAACTTATTGATAGACCAGAGCAATGTGTCTCTAAATTAACAAAAGAAACCCCTAATTTTCTTGTTGGATTAGCATTCATTGCTCTCTTCCCTTTCCCTTTAAAACTTATTAATACCTCATCAACAGTCATTCTATGAAGAGCCTTCTTTCCATTTAATTCTGTATCACTCATGCTGGCAAAAAAAAATCAGTTACTGAATCCATGTGTCTCTTAAGTGCCTAACCTTCTTTTTCCTTTCCAAATTGAAATCATACTAATAAAACAAAAAGTCTGCTGTGCAGGTAAGTAGTTCTCAGCAAGTTTTTGTGTTCTTCACTGTTCAATGAAGACTTAGTTGATAAGAGTTAATGAACATTAAGTTATTAGAGAGCATCCAAAAGAGGGTAATGAGGATGATGAAGGGCCTTGAGGGGAACCTAAAGGAGGAGCAGCTGAGGTCACTTAGTTTGTTCAGGCTGGAGAAGAAGAAGCTGAGGGGAAACCTCAATATGCTTGTGAGAGGAGGTGGAAAGGCAGGCACTGATCTCTTCTCTCTAGTGACCAGTGACAGGACCTGAGAAAACAGTCAGGAAATGTTTAGGCTGGATATCAGGAAAATGTTTTTCAACCAGAGAGTGTTTGAAAACTGAAACAGCTCCCCAGAGAAGTAGTCAAAGCACCAAGCCTGACGGAGGTCAAGAAGCACTTGCACTCAGGCACATGGTGTGAGTCTTGGGGTGTCCTGGGCAGGGCCAGTAGATGGACTTGATGATCTTTATAGACCCCTTCCAACTTAGTTTATTCTGTGATTCTATGCTTGTGAGAGGTGCTGAATGACTGCATTTACATCACTTCTTTTCTTTCATTCACTTATTAAGTTGTCTATCTTGACTGACAAGTTTTCTCACTTCTGCTTCTCTGATTCTCTCCTGCATCCTTTGAGGAGGAGTGAGTGGCTGGCTGGGTACTTAACTGCTGGCTCGAATCAACCCACCACAAGCGTGATTCATCTGACTAAATCTAATCATCTGCTTTGTTAAGGTTGATTAATTATATTAATAAGATTTCCTCTGAGTGTAACAGGGGATGGGCTCAGGTATAGACACTGATGAGGCGGACATCAAAATTTAGGTGTCTTAACCATTGTATCCATGACATTGTGGGTAATAAACAGTTAATGTTTAACAGTTCATGGTTAAAGGCAGGACTTACTGTTTTCTTTTCTGTAATTCATCCATTAACCTGTCACAATAGAATTATTTGTGGGTTTTTGTGTGACATGGTCACCCCATACTCATATAAGAAGAATACTTTGATCAACCTGGGTGTGAATTTTTCTTGGTTTCCTTACATGATGAAATTAAGATACATTATGATGCAGTCTTTTCATGTAGCTAAATCTCATTAAACTGCCATCATGTTTTTTCTGTAGCCTTCTGAACATGTGCTATAGTCCCATCATATCTCTTCAGAATGTATCTGCTTAGCTTATTTTCACAGTGGTAACTTCTTTGCACCAAGCAAATTATTCATCTTTACTTTCAAGGCCTTTCATAGGTGATCTTTCCTGACATTATTAATTCATTACCAAACTCTTGATCCATCTACTATTAATCCGCTTTGCTATCCTTCTTCATTGTCTTGTCTTTTCAAACCAACAGCTTTTTGCCTCAGGATTTATATTTTGCAGTGTATATTTGTTGGTAGTCATGCCCCAGTATTTTGCTATTTAGAATGTGGGGTTTGGGGTTTGTTTTTTTCATGTTTTGCTGTTTGTCTTTTCCTAGACAGAACTGTGCACACTGCTAACAGAGGCTGGCATATAGAAACCATGTAGCTAGTACCACGACCCATCAGTAAGCTTCCCTGAACACAACAGAAATAAAGCCAAGTTTTTCTGAGAAGTTTATAAAAGAAACCCTCTGTCATGCAGATGAGTTCATTGCCAGAGGAATTATTACCCAAGATAATCTGCTTGAATATATATTTTATTATATGTAACTTATTTATGTTCTATATACGGGTAAAGGACACAAATGTGTCTGAAGCAGTTTGGTCATGAAATGCTGTGAAAATCAAGTGTTCTGCATAACAGCTGAAGTTGTTTTACTCTGTCTTGGTGTAAATTCCTAATGTAGGTAGGAATGTAGAAGATGATCTCAGTAGAAGAAAAGGCTAGGAGAAG